GTCTTAAATTTATGAATACATTTATTTTTACATTTTTTTTTATTGGATAAGTTTTATAAAAGCAAAAAAAAAAAAACCCAGTAATAATCAAATATCATCAAAGGAAAGCTCTATTTGTGTGAAAAAATGCTATAAATTTCATTTCGGTACAGTGTAGCATGACCCGCGCAGTTGCTAGTTAGCAAAAAATGGCCTGATCATGAAAGGGATAAAACCTTCCGGAGCGGAAGTGGTTAGGAACGAATGGCAGGCACCCTCCATGCGTTGCGCATTTTACAGTGATTGTAGTGCGATTGGGTAGAATTGTGCGATTCTGCATCGCTCAGATGTGAATGGGGCCCTAAATAACCTTGCCCTTGCTGATCTCCACATGAAATTGTCAGCTGACTCGTCCGTGGTTCTAGTCTCTTATCAGACACTGACCCAGGCAGCCAGGCGATTAGCATTTTTGGAAGACAGTAATGGCAGCTTCCATTTTTAGTTGTCTTTTAAAAAAAAAAAAAAAAATCAAAATTTTTTATATCAGGAAAATAAAAAAAAAATCCCAGCGAGGACGCAGTCTGTTCCTGATGGCCGCGCTTTGCAGCGTTCTACAATAATCATTCATATCCCACTGATTATTTGTGCCGGAAGCCTCACACCTCCTCACTGATATCATCCTGATTACCTTGTTAGTTCTCAGCAATTAACAATTCCATGTCCCGTCTACGAGTCGCAAATGAGTGTTTTTTGGAAAACAATCAGAGACTTCTTTTCTGCATTTCTCGCATGTAGGAAAGCCCATTGACATAAATGAGCTGTCCAACACATGACGTGCGGGAGCGCGCCCGCGCGTGCTTGCACCCGTAGGTGTGAACCAACCCTTAATGAGCTGTTAACCCCTATAGGGTCAAATTCCTATAGTTGGGCTTGAAAGCAACTCATGTTACCATATGTGACCCGCAACGGTACCGATTGCTAACGGCATCACCACAAATCTGCAAATGCGTATGTTTTCCTGAAGGCCAAACTGCATGACCACCACATGACGTGCGGGAGCGCGCCCGCCTGTGCTTGCACCCGTAGGTGTGAACCAAAACTTAATGAGCCCTCAACTCCTGTAGTGTCAAATTCCTATTTTTGGGCTTTATAGCAACTCAGGTTAACATTTGTGACCCGCAGCGGTGCCAGTGATTGCTAATGGAATCCCCACAAATCTGCAAATGCGTACGTTTTCCTGCAGGCCAAACTGCATGACCACCACATGACGTGCGCCCGCACGTGCTTGCTCCCGTAGGTGTGAACCAAAACTTAATGAACAGTTAACCCCTGTAGTGTTAAATTCCTATAGCTGGGCTTCAACGCAACTCATGTTAACATTTGTGACCCGCAGCGGTGCCAATGATTGCCAATGGCATCCACACTTCTGCTAACGCACGCATTTTCCAGCAGGACAAACTGCAAGATGCCGCATCACCGATTGGTTCGGTGCAGAGCAGGGGCAGACTGAGAACTTATGGGGTCCCTGGGCAATAGGGGAACATGGAGCCCCTGTGTCCTCGCCAACACCCAAAAAAACCTATGAAAAAGCCAATGAAAGGTACCGGGGGCATCTCATGGGGCCCCCTACTGACCCTGGGCCCTTGGGCAGTGCCCGAGTATTCGAATGGTCAGTCCGCCCCTGGTGCAGAGTGTTTTGGGAAAACAGTCAGGGACTTTTCCAAATCTCTCATGCCTAGGACAGCCCAATGAAATGAATGAGCTGCCCCACACATGTTGCGCGGTAGCGCGCGCCCGTGCGTGCGGTTGCGCCAAGCCGCCTTAGTGATCAGTTAACCCTTGTAAAGTCAAATTCTTAAATCTGGGCTTTAACGCAACAAAAGAGGAACGGTGGAAGGCGAAAGGGCCCTTAGTGAACCTGTGGCTTCACGGGGCAGATAAAGGCAAATTCCCCGGAGTGTTTTCGGGTTTAGCGCGGTGACCGTCCATGCTGTCCGAGTCGCCATCAGCGCTCGAACGTATCGATTCTGCTCCTCATCCGCAGTTGCTCTTTAAATCACCGAATGAAGCCTGGGAGGACAATGGGCTCCCGGGCTGCAGATTTGCTCAAGGGCAAACTAATCGTGTCTCTTGCGCCGTCATCGGGGCGGCTGTCATGAAGATGGCGCGCGGCACCCGGCGTGAAGCCGCTGGCTGTCATTTTCCTGCCGGCCGACTCCGCAGAGCTCCTAATAAGACTGAAATGCTTGGCTTGACAACTTTTTAGCCGGCAATTACATTTTTGCGCGGAGTGAATGATGGGTGGACATTGGAATTATCTCACCGGCGATCATTAACTGCTTCTACTACATATGCACTTCTATAATATCCGCTCGTTAAACGCCGAGTCGCAGAACGCCGCCGAATCATCATCACCGTATGGATCGGGGAAGAGAGAACGGAGCAAAACGGGGGTGGGGGGGGGGAGCGGATCAATAATGGCGATATATTATATCTCCTCAAAGCTTCTTCCCTATTAGAGGGGAAGGTCACGGCAGACACCTGAGCGCGCTCTGGTTCTCTGGGCTGACGGGAATGACGGCACGTACAATCTAATTGAGGATCATCCTCGACGGCTGGAACATGATGTGGCCCCTGGCAAGCAGACCGGATCCAAATTACCGAGTGTCCTCTCTTAAAGGGGTACTTCAAGCGGTATTAAACCCAAAACCGAAAATGTCACATATTGCGGCTTACCGATTATTAGATGTGGTGGCAGCATTCATTTTCTTTTTTTAGGCTTTTTTCACCTGGTGATCAGGCCAGTCACACACCTCCTGTATTAGAGCATCTCCCCCACACACACATACAGTCAGGTCCATAAATATTGGGACATCGACACAATTCTAACAATTTTGGCTCTATACACCACCACAATGGATTTGAAATGAAACGAACAAGATATGCTTTAACTGCAGACTGTCCGCTTTAATTTGAGGGTATTTACATCCAAATCAGGTGAACGGTGTAGGAATTACAACAGTTTGCATATGTGCCTCCCATTTGTTAAGGGACCAAAAGTAATGGGACAGAATAATAATCATAAATAAAACTTTCACATTTTAATACTTGGTTGCAAATCCTTTGCAGTCAATTACAGCCTGAAGTGTGGAACGCATAGACATCACCAGACGCTGGGTCTCATCCCTGGTGATGCTCTGCCAGGCCTCTACTGCAACTGTCTTCAGTTCCTGCTTGTTCTTGGGGCATTTTCCCTTCAGTTTTGTCTTCAGCAAGTGAAATGCTCAATCGGATTCAGGTCAGGTGATTGACTTGGCCATTGCATAACAGTCCACTTCTTTCCCTTAAAAAACTCTTTGGTTGCTTTTGCAGTCTGCTTTGGGTCATTGTCCATCTGCACTGTGAAGCGTCCAATGAGTTGTGAAGCATTTGGCTGAATATGAGCCGATAATATTCCCGAAACACTTCACAATTCATCCGGCTGCTTCTGTCAGCAGTCACATCATCAACAAATACAAGAGAAGCAGTTCCATTGGCAGCCATACATGCCCACGCCATGACACTACCATCACACCATGCTTCACTGTTGAGGTGGTATGCTTAGGACCATGAGCAGTTCCTTCTCCATACTCTTCTCTTCCCATCACTCTGGTACAAGTTGATGTCGGTCTCATCTGTCCATAGGATGTTGTTCCAGAACTGTGAAGGCTTTTTTACATGTCGTTTGGCAAACTCTAATCTGGCCTTCCTGTTTTTGAGGCTCACCAATGGTTTCCATCTTGTGGTGAACCCTCTGTATTCACTCTGGTGAAGTCTTCTCTTGATTGTTGACTTTGACACACATACACCTACCTCCTGGAGAGTGTTCTTGATCTGGCCAACTGTTGTGAAGGGTGTTTTCTTCACCAGGGAAAGAATTCTTCGCTCATCCACCACAGTTGTTTTCCGTGGTCTTCCGGGTCTTTTGGTGTTGCTGAGCTCACCGGTGCGTTCCTTCTTTTTAAGAATGTTCCAAACAGTTGTTTTGGCCACGCCTAATGTTTTTGCTATCTCTCTGATGGGTTTGTTTTGTTTTTTTCAGCCTAATGATGGCTTCACTGATAGTGACAGCTCTTTGGTTCTCTTGGTTCTCATCTTGAGAGTTGACAGCAACAGATTCCAAATACAAATAGCACACTTGAAATGAACTCTGGACCTTTTATCTGCTCGTTGTAATTGGGATAATGAGGGAATAACACACACCAGGCCATGGAACAGCTGAGAAGCTAAATGTCCCATTACCTTTGGTCCCTTAACAAGTGGGAGACACATATGCAAACTGTTGTAATTCCTACACCGTTCATCTGATTTGGATGTAAATACCCTCAAATTAAAGCTGACAGTCTGCAGTTAAAGCACATCTTGTTCGTTTCATTTCAAATCCATTGTGGTAGTGTATAGAGCCAAAAATGTAAGAATTGTGTCCATGTCCCAATATTTATGGACCTGACTGTATATATACACACTCTGGATCAGAGAGCACCTCAGATATAGTGAATGCAGGGTCCAGGGAGAGCGGATATAGTGAATGCGGGGTCCGGGGAGAGCGGATATAGTGAATGCGGGGTCCGGGGAGAGCGGATATAGTGAATGCGGGGTCCGGGGAGAGCGGATATAGTGAATGCAGGGTCCGGGGAGACTGGATATAGTGAATGCGGGGTCCGGGAGAGCGGATATAGTGAATGCGGGGTCCGGGGAGAGCGGATATAGTGAATGCGGGGTCCGGGGAGAGCGGATATAGTGAATGCGGGGTCCGGGGAGAGCGGATATAGTGAATGCGGGGTCCGGGGAGAGCGGATATAGTGAATGCGGGGTCCGGGGAGAGCGGATATAGTGAATGCGGGGTCCGGGGAGAGCGGATATAGTGAATGCGGTGTCCGGGGAGAGCGGATATAGTGAATGCGGGGTCCGGGGAGAGCGGATATAGTGAATGCGGGGTCCGGGGAGAGCGGATATAGTGAATGCGGGGTTCGGGGAGACAAGATATAGTGAATGCGGGGTTCGGAGAGAGCGGATATAGTGAATGCAGGGTCTGGGGCGGAGCGGATAGATATAGTGAATGCGGGGTCCGGGGAGAGCGGATATAGTGAATGCGGGGTCCGGGGAGAGCGGATTTTAGTGAATGCGGGGTCCGGGGAGAGCGGATATAGTGAATGCGGGGCCCGGGGAGAGCAGATATAGTGAATGCGGGGTCTGGGGAGAGCGGATATAGTGAATGCGGGGTCCGGGGAGAGCGGATATAGTGAATGCGGGGTCCGGGGGAGAGCGGATATAGTGAATGCGGGGTCCGGGGAGAGCGGATATAGTGAATGCAGGGTCCGGGGAGACTGGATATAGTGAATGCGGGGTCCGGGGAGAGCGGATATAGTGAATGCGGGGTCCGGGGAGAGCGGATATAGTGAATGCGGGGTCCGGGGAGAGCGGATATAGTGAATGCGGGGTCCGGGGAGAGCGGATATAGTGAATGCGGGGTCCGGGGAGAGCGGATATAGTGAATGTGGGGTCCGGGGAGAGCGGATATAGTGAATGCGGGGTCTGGGGAGACCAGATATAGTGAATGCAGGGTCCGGGGAGAGCGGATATAGTGAATGCAGGGTCTGGGGAGAGCGGATATAGTGAATGCAGGGTCCGGGGAGAGCGGATATAGTGAATGCAGGGTCTGGGGAGACCAGATATAGTGAATGCAGGGTCCGGCGAGAGCGGATATAGTGAATGCAGGAAGCATTTCCTCAGTCTCCTCTGTCATTGCCCAGGCTGAAACTTTATAGCAAGTCACAAGGTGAAGTGGGTGCAGCAGGGGGCTGATCTGTATTAGACATTTTGTAAACACAACCAGGATTTGTTGTCTGTGAGCCGGCATCTCAGCACTGGCAGGTAATGTTGACCCTGAGCAATGCCTGAGCAAACATGGCTCTGTCCTTCTGGGTCACTCAGGCTGCACATTGTAACTTTGTATCAAGTTGTAAGGGGAGAGATAGCAGCAGGGGGCTGATCTGTGTCAGATATTTGTAAACACCACCAGGATTTTTCTAACTGTGTCATCTTTGAGCAGGCATCTCAGCCTGTGTCAGACATTTGTGAACCTGCACAGGCACCAGGATTTACATGAATGTGTCATCTCTGAGACAGCAAAGCCATCCTTGAGCTCCAGTCCAATGACTTTGCCTAGGCTGAGATGATGTCATCAGTCTGTTGCAGGCAGGAGAAAGCTACTTCTCTGATCATTCAGGCTATACATTGTAACTTTGTAGCAAGTCAGAAGGTGAGAGACAGCAGCAGGGGGCTGATCAGTGTCAGACATTTGTGAACACCAGCAGGATTTTCATGACTGTGTCATCTCTGAGCCAACATCTCGGTTGAGGAAGTAGATATTGACCCTGCATGTTGCCTGAACAAAGGTGGCGCAGTCCTTCTGGAGCTATCTCACTGTACTCACACCAGGCATCTGGGTTCAGGGGGTAGATGGTGACCCTACTTGATGCCTAAACAAAGATGGCGCTGTCCTTCTTAATCATTCAGGCTGTACATTGTAACTTTGTAGCAAGTCATAAGGTGAGAGACAACAGCAGGGGGCTGATCAGTGTCAGACATTTGTGAACACCAGCAGGATTTTCATGACTTTGTCATCTCGGTCCAGGAAGTACAGTAGATGATGCCTGAACAAAGATGGCGCCGCCCTTCTGGAGTGATCTCACTGTACTCACACCCTACTTAGCATGCATGTACTAAACATGAAAACATATCCACCCATAACTGAATATTTGGTTTTGGGTGGGTAAAGCGTTTAAAGAGCGCTCAGCGGCCTGTATTTACCCCCCCCCCCTCCCCCGGGGAGCAACGTCATCAGATTCACCATTACATGGCAACCAAATTTTTCTTTTTTCTTTTAAACAAAATCCTTAATTTCCTTCATCCCGATAGAACGCGGCATGATATCGATCTCCTCCCTTGACCATGGAAAATCTCGACTCCTGCCCATGGAATGACGCGGCTCAGAGTGGCGGTTGAGCCTTTCCTCCGTCACATCTTTCATTTAGTCGTTCTAATTAGGCTGTAACTGGTGTCGGTGGGACAGCTGGGCCGGCACGCTCCGTCCTGCTTGTCCTGATTAGCGCACTTTAGACGCCGAGTAAATTAGAAGCAGAGTCTCCTGCAGTCCAATGACAGATAAAGCAGCAATGTGCGCCACCTTAATGACATGCCAATGGGGGTTGGTTTCCTCCGATCTCTGAGGGCTCCTCCGCCGGGCACTTTGCTGAAGTCTTGCTGGCAGTTTAGCGCGGTTCGGGGAAGGCGCCTGAGCCGCTCGGTCTTCAGAAGACGATGGAGAGTCTGCCGTTCTGTCCGGATCGCTCTCTTTTATTAGCACAGAGCTCCTGCCAAAAAGATGATGAAAACTTTTCGGGCCGTTGCACACTCCATGCGTTTCAGTTGCTTTTGTTTGCATCCAAAACGCACAGAAAGTAGGTGATATGGTGGTCAGTGTCATCATTCACATCAGTGATTGCAGTTCCAGTGCGTTCTGGATGCAGAAAAAAAGAAAAAGTAGACGGGGGGTGAATTTTTTCTGCACAGAACTGTTCTGGAACGTGTTAAAGCGCATCAGAAGTGCACCACAGAGTTCAGAGGTCAGTGGTATGTACCTCAGAGTTCAGAGGTCAGCGGTATGTACCACAGAGATCAGAGGTCAGCGGTATGTACCACAGAGTTCAGAGGTCAGCGTATGTACCACAGAGTTCAGAGGTCAACAGTATGTACCACAGAGTTCAGAGGTCAGCGGTATGTACCACAGAGTTCAGAGGTCAGTAGTATGTACCACAGAGTTCAGAGGTCAGCGGTATGTACCACAGAGATCAGAGGTCAGCGGTATGTACCACAGAGTTCAGAGGTCAGCAGTATGTACCACAGAGTTCAGAGGTCAGCAGTATGTAACACAGAGTTCAGAGGTCAGCAGTATGTAACACAGAGTTCAGAGGTCAGCGGTATGTACCACAGAGATCAGAGGTCAGCGGTATGTACCACAGAGTTCAGAGGTCAGCGGTATGTACCACAGAGTTCAGAGTTCAGATCAGGTCAGCGGTATGTAACACAGAGTTCAGAGGTCAGTGGTATGTAACACAGAGTTCAGAGGTCAGCGGTATGTACCACAGAGTTCAGAGGTCAGCAGTATGTACCACAGAGTTCAGAGGTCAGCGGTATGTACCACAGAGATCAGAGGTCAGTAGAAAATAAAGCTTTATGGTTAGGAGGAAGTAACAGAGAGTACAGGGGTCAGTAGTACTAAACACACATTGCAAGTGTCAGTAGTAGTAAGTAGCACATTGCAGAGGGAACAGCTAACAACTCCCCCCCCCCCTCGATAATACACCCCTTAGCAGGAGTACGTAATGCAGCATGCAAGGGTCAGTGGTAAGTAACACAGAGTTCAAAGGTCAGCAGTAAGCAAGTCAAAGTTCAGGGGTCAGTAAGAAATGAATGCAGCATTTAGAGGTACATAATTCAGAATGTAAGGGTCAGAAGTAAGTAATACAGAGTTCAAAGGTCAACAGTAAGTAACATAGAGTGCAAGGCTCAGTAGTAAGAAATGCAGAATGCAAGGGTAAGAAGTAAGTAATGCAGAGCCCAGAGGTCTGTAGTGTGCAATGCAGAGTGCAGGGATCAGTAGTATACAATCCAGAGTTTAGAGGTCAGCAGTAAGTATTGTAGAGTTCAAGGGTCAGTAGTTTATAATGCAGAGTTCAGACGTCTGTAGTATGTAATACAGAGTGCAGGGGTTTAGAGGTAAGTAATGCAGAATTCAGAGTCGTGTGCAATGTAGCACAGAGTGCACAGGTCTGGAGTAAGTAACGCAGAGTTAAGTAGTATTAGACATACACTATATTGCCAAAAGTATTGTCCCCGCCCTCCAAAGTATTGGATTCAGGTGTTCCAATCCCCTCCATATCATGTGATTCAGGTGTTCCAATCCCCTCCATGGACACAGGTGTATACAATCAAGCCCCTAGGCATGCAGACTGCTTCTACAAACATTGGTGAAAGAATGGGTCGCTCTCAGGAGCTCAGTGACTCCAAGCGTGGTCCCGTGATAGGTGGTCACCTGTGCAATAAGTCCATCCGTGACATTTCCTGGCTACTAAATATTCCACGCTCAACTGTTAGTGGGATTATAACAAAGTGGAAGCAACTGGGAACAACAGCCACTCAGCCACCAAGTGTTAGGCCACGTCACATGACAGAGCGGGGTCAGCACATGATGAAGCGCACAGTGCGCAGAAGTCACCAACTGTCTGCAGAGTCAATAGCTAAAGACCTCCAAACTTGGTGTGGCCTTCAGATGAGCCCAACAACAGTGCGTAGAGAGCTTCATGGAATGGGTTTCCATGGCCGAGCAGCTGCATCCAAGCCTTACATCACCAAGTGTAATGCAAAGCGTCGGATGCCGTGGTGTAAAGCACGCTGCCACTGGACTCTAGAGCAGAGGAGACGTGTTCTCTGGAGTGACCAATCATGCGTCTCTGTCTGGCAATCTGATGGACGTGTCTGGGTTTGGCGGTTGCCAGGAGAACGATACTTGCCTGACTGCATTGTGCCAAGTGTAAAGTTTGGTGGAGGGGGATTATTGTGTGGGGTTGTTTTTCAGGTATCGGGATTGGCCCCCTAGTTCCAGTGAAGGGAACTCTTAAGGCATCAGCATACCAAGACATTTTGGAAAACTTTGTGGGAAGAGTTTGGGGATGGCCCCTTCCTGTTCCAACATGACTGCCCACCAGTGCACAAAGCAAGGTCCATAAAGACATGGAGGAGCCAGTTTGGGGTGGAGGAACTTGACTGCCTGCACAGAGTCCTGACCTCAACCCCATAGAACACCTTTGGGATGAATTAGAGCGGAGACTGCGAGCCAGGCCTCCTCCCCCGACATCAGTGCCTGACCTGACAAATGTGCTTCTGGAAGAATGGTCCAACCTTCCCATAGACACCCTCCTAAACCTTGTGGACGGCCTTCCCAGAAGAGTTGGAGCTGTTATAGCTGCAAAGGGCGGGGCCAACTCAATATTGAACCCTACGGACTAAGACTGGGGGGCCATTAAAGTTCATGTGCGTGGAAAGGCCGGCGGCCCGATACTTTTGGCAATAATGTGTATCATGCAAGTGTCAGCAGTAAGTACCATGCAGAGGTCAGGTGTAACTAATAAACACTTTGTGGGGTAGATCACGGTTGGCACTTTGCTGATGGCCATCTTAGGGGGTGATGTGCTGTGCAGGATCAGCCTTCTTATTGACCAGGTCCATGGACAGTAAAGTCGTCGTAGAACGTCACATGACCACAGAGGTCTGTCTTGCCTAAACCTATATTACAGAGATTTCTATTTTTTCCCTACAGACATACTTTAATCATATGACGAACCCCATGTTGGTATTATGAATATTCTTTTTTGTCTTTGAAATAAACGTGCACAAGAAAAAAAGATAAATCTGGAAAAACATATTAATGGCACATACAAAAAATGAATGTCTTGCGATGTCCTATAGGCAGCGGGTGCTTGGCATATTTAAATGAGCCCGTATATTTTCCATATGTCAAATCCTGTAGGGTGCAATATTCGTATTCCAGGCAAAGTTAGGAAACTGGAGACTTTTGCTTATGAATGAGGTCCTTGACACTGCCGGTGAATAGGTCCCATTGCGATCGTAACAAGACACAATTTCCAGCACAAACA